CGCAAGGTGCGCGGGGGCTGGGGAGTCTCCTCGGCCAGCTCAGAGAGCCTGCTCACCCCGCCCATCCCGTGGGCCTCTCTGTGCCCCAGCAACCTCTCCCTAAGTTTTCTAGGCTTGGCTCCAACTCACAATCTTTCTTGATGTCACTGTGGCCCTGTACTAAGAGTACGGTCCTATGGAGGTTATGTGATCAATGTTTTGGCAAATGTCTGACTCCCAGTGTGTCCAGTACATCCTTGAATCCATCCTGAGATATTTCTCCTTTTCCAGAGTGCATAATTGGGATAGATGAACTTAGCATGTGCTGAAATCCTCAGCTGGAAGGCCAAATGTAAGCCACAAGAGTTGTCTTTATCTGGTAAAATAGTAAATCATAAACAATATCACATCCCTGGAGGGACTGCAGAGGTCAGTACCACTATCAAGGACTTGAAGGATGCAGGGGTGGTGGCTCCCATCATATCTCCATTTAATTCTCCCATTTTTCCTATGCAAAAGATGGACAGGTCTTGGAGAATGACATAAGATTACTGTGTGCTGATGAAGTGGTGACTTTTATTGAAGCTGCTGTTCTAGATGTGATTTCCTTACTTGAGCAGATTAATACATATCCTGGTACTTGGTATGCAGCTATTGATTTGGCAAATGCCTTCTTCTCTCTACTTATCCATTAGGCCTATCAGAAATAGCTTACTTTTAGCTGGCAAGTCCAGCAATACACCTACATTGTCCTACCTCAGGGTTATATTAATTCAACAGCTCTTCGTCTACTAATGGGCCTTAGTGCAAACTGAATGCTTGACCATAGAATACCAGGTTGCCATGTAAACTGAGTTGCCCATCTTGACCTGGGTATTATCTGATCTGCTGAATCATAAAGTTTGATGTGCACTGCAACAGTCCATCATTTAATGGAAATAGTACATACATGTTGGAAGCAGCACAGGTCCAGAGGGAATAAATAAATTACATGAAGAAGCCCCAAAATTCAAAGACTCAATCCAAAAATGGGCATCTGAGATAAATACACACTTTTCAGATGAAGAAGCACTCATGGTGAATAAACATGAAAAAAAATGGTCAACATCATTAGTCATTCAAGAAATGCAAATTACAAGAACAGCGAGATTCCATCTCCCTCCAGAAAGAATGGCTACTATCAAGAAATCTACCAATAACAAATGCTAGAGAGGCTGTGGGGAAAAAGGAACCCTATTCCACTGCTGGTGGGAGTGTAGATTGGTGAAACCACTGTGGAAATCAGTTTGCAGATTCCTCACAAAAGTAGGATTAGAAGTCCCAATTAACCTAGCTATTCTCCTTCTGGGTATTTTCCCAGAAGAATTAAAAACATCATACCACAGTGATATATGTTCACCCATATTTATAGCAGCACAATTTGTTATAGCTAAATCTTGGAAACAACCCAAATGTCCATCAACCAAAGAATGGATAAAAGAGATGTACTTTTTTATATAATGGAGTATTAGTTACCTATAAAACAGATAAACTCAAGGCTTTTGTAGGGAAATGGATGCAACTAGAGACCATACTCATAAGTGAAATAAATTGGACCCACATGTGCAAACATCATATTGTCTCCCTGGTGTAGGAGCCTGAAAGAGTAAGTAAAACTCAAGGCGTACAGTAAATGATATGAAAGGGAAAGAAATTGCTAAAGGAAGGAACAACTGGGATGAGGGAAAGAAGAAAAAAGAAAGAAGTAAGGCAAATATATATATCTTATATCTTGTAATCTGAGCAACTGATTTGAGGACAACAATATACAACAGAACAACCACTGGTTAATTCCTACCATCCTCTCTAGTGAAACTCTGTATTATCTCTAATATTTTATTTCATAATAATTTTTTTATTCTCTTTAATGGTTTGAATAATCTTCCATTCTTACATCTGGTAATCTGAGCCATGCAGTTGAAGATAACAATATGTAATGTAGTAATCATTGTTAATTCTTATCATTTTGTTTTGAAACCCTGTATCACTTTTTTATTTTAAAGAGAATAGTAAAAAAAATAGCAAAATACAAGCAAAACAAAGCAAAGACATTAAAAATGAGATAGGGTGTCAAACCAAATGGTAAGGATTAACAGTGGTTGTTATATTACATATTGTTATCTTCAGTTGTGTTGCTCAGATCACCAGATTTAAGAATGGAAGATTGATCAAACTATTACAGAGAATAAGAAAATAATAATGTAAAAAACATTAGAGACAGTACAGAGTTTCACTAGACAGGATGGTAGGAATTCACCAATGGCTGTTATCCATGTATCACTTTTAATGTTCTTGTTTTGTTTTGGTTATGTCTGTGATGTTGGTAAGTTGCTTTTTTTTTTTTTTTTTTTTTTTTTTTTACTACTCTTTTTAAAATAAAAAAAAATACATGAAGAAGTTGCCCACATGCCCACGGCTTCTACTCCTACTATATTACTTTCTGTTTCCCAGCATGCACCTGTGGCTCATGGGATGTACCATATGATTATCTGTCACAGGAAGAAGAGTAGGCAGATGAAGCGAGGAAGCCTGGTATATAGAGGGTTCTGCACATTTTTCAGGCACCACTTGCAAGTGGAAAGGTGCCAGATGACAGCCCCTTTCCAGGACATCCCTGAAGGACAGCAGTGAAAGGAAATATTCCCAGTGAGCAGAAGTTTGGGCAGTGCCTCTGGTAGTACATTTTGTGTGGAAGGAAAAATGGCCAGACATGTGACTATATACTAAATCATGGGCTATATACTAAATTGTCCTTATTGGCTGTAGCCAATGGTATGGCTAAATGGTCAGGAACTGGGAAGGAACATGACTGGAAAATTTGTGACAAAGATGTTTGGGGAAGAGGTATGTGTCCAGACCTCTCCATAAAGGCAAGGGGTATGAAAATATTTGTATCCTACGTGAATGCTCACCAAAAAGTGACCTCAGCAGAAGTAGACTTTAACAATTAAGTGGGTAGGATGACTCATTCTGTAGATAGTGGTCAAACTCTTTCTTCAGCCACTCCTGTCATTGTCTGATGGGCCATGATGGCAGTGATGAAGGTTACACATTGGCTTAGCAACATGGACTCCCATTCATCAAGGATGGTTTAGCTACAGCCTCTGAGGAATGCCCAATATGTCAGCAGCAGTGACCAATGCCCAGTCCCTGATAAGCATCATTTTCCAGAATGATCATCTTCTGACCCTGCTGGCAGGTTGATTATATTGGACTGCTTCTGTCCTAGAAAGGATAGATCTGTCCTTATTGGCAAAACACTTATTCTGGATATGGACTGGCTTCTCCTTCTGTAAAGCTTCTGCCAAAATTACCATCTGTAGACTTACAAGATGCCTTACCCACCATCATGGAATTCCGTACAGCACTTCCTCTTACCATGAAACACGTTTTATGGCCAAAGAAGTGAGGCAGTGGGCTCATGCCCATAGAATCCATCAGTCTCACTGTGTTTCTCACCATCCAGAAGGAGCCGGATTGTTAGAAAGGTGGAATGGTCTTTTGAAGACATAATTACAGTGCCAACTAGGAGGCAGTAGCTTGCAGGCCTGGGCCAAAGTTCTTCAGAAAACTGTATATGCTCTAAATCATTATCCATGGTACTGTGTTCCTATAGCCAAGATTCATAAGTCCAGGAGTTAAGGGTTGGAAGTAAGAATGATACAACTCACTATTACCTCTACTGATCCACTAGCAAAATTTTTGCTTCCTGTTCCTGAAATCTTATGCTCTGCTGGCTTAGAAGTCTTAGTTTCAGAGTGGGAAGGCTTGTATGAGAAAGTACACTAAAAATACCACTAAACTAGAAACTAAAACTTTCCCTTAGTAATTTTGATCTCTTCATTCTTGGAAGAAACAAGCTAAAAAGTGACTCACAGTATTGGCAGACTGACCCAGACTGTCAAGGAGAAATTGGACTCTTACTCCTCAGTGGAGGAAAGGAAGAATATGCTTGGAGCTCAGGAGACCCCTTCAGGTTCCTCCTGTACTGTATTACCATGTCCTGTCATTAAGACCAATGTGAAATTACAGTTTCAATTTTATCCTTCTTTATAGCTGAGTAGTACTCCACTGTACAAAAATACCACATCTTTTTTTTTTTTTATCACATACAGTTTGATTCACAGGATCAGAGATGACAGGTTGTCCAAACCCAATTGACACCCACAGACCAGACTATTCAGGCACAGAGACAGGGCACAGTGAGCACAGAGGGAGTTCACTGTAATGAATGATGTGGGTCAGAAACCACTTGACAGGCTTCTGTGAAGGCAGTGAATGAGGCACAAGAGTCAATGTACCTGGGTGCAGGCAGATGGGGTGGAAAAAGACTGTCTGTAGGGGAGGAAGAAAAGCAATGCTTTTATTCAGGGCTCGGCAAAGGGAGTCAAATGAGATCAGGCAAGGTACCTTGTCAGGAGTTCAGGCAAGAGACCTTCTGTAAGGAGGTTTGGGCAAACATCAGTGGTCAGTGTTTGCAGAGCATCTGGTACAAATGTATGGATGTTATCAGATGTACGAGTGATGGGAAGATTCTGTGCTCTGCCTTATTTCCTCTGTGTGACCTGTCCTTTGTCCTTAGTTTGTCAAGGGGAGCACTTGTCCTGGGGCTGTGGTTATTGCTGAGAGCAATGTGACTGCTGAAAAACAGGTTGAGTGATGGAAAAGTCATGCCTGAGTCGAAGCTGATACTCATGTCCTTGCCACAGGGTGGAGATCTGGGAATGCATCATGTTGCCTTCCTATCTCTCAAGAATGCAGAATCCTGACCAGGGGGTGAAAAACATCAAACATCTTGCCATGTGTTTGTGAAGGACTTGTGGAACCTGAATCACCTTTCCTGACTTTATCACAGGATGGATCAGCCCTCTCTGAGGGGGTGGGCAGCAACAGAAGGGCCATATATAGTTTCCCTGGGTGGGACACTGAAGACTTCTCTTTCCTCCTCCAATACCTGCCAGCCCAGCAGCTCCCTTGAAGCCATGGATCTGGGCTTACTGTGCCTGGGTCTCACCCTGATGGGGGCCCTGCAGATCCAAGCCATGTACATTCCTCCAGCCTTGATCCCTGCACCACCTCTAAGCTCAGTGCCCCTGCAGGAGGACTTCCACGAAGACCAGGTAAAGGCTCTGGCTATGCATCTGGGGGAAAGTTCTGTGAGACAAGGATGATGGGAGTGAAGTGGAGGAGTAACAAAGGGACTCAGGGAGAGTTCTGGGTGGAAGGAGGAAGACTCAGGGTGACCAGGTCCCATTCATGCTAGGTGGGGACATCTTCAGTCCCTGCATAGACAAGAAAACTGAGGCTCAGGAAGACCCACCAGCCACTTGCCCAGGGCCACCTCATTTCTGACAACAGAGGGCTGACTCATCACCCAGGATCCATCCTTGCCCTGGAGGACACAGCTTCCACCAGCCTCCCAGGGCAGCCCATTCCCAGACCCTGCTTCTCAGAGTGCTTCCCAAAAATATCAGGAGGGACAGCATGGGAAGCTGGCAGTGAGGCAGGCTCCAGGCTCTGGCTTTCACCAATGTCTTATAGTTCCAGGGGAAGTGGTTTGGCATAGGCATTGCTGGGAACTCAATTTGGAAAGGAAATGCAAGCAGTGACTATTTCATGTACAGCGACACCTACCAGCTGATGGATGACCACAGCTACAATGTCACCATGCTCATACTCAGGTAAAGCGGCCACTTCCCGGGGCTCTGAGAGCTAGAATGGTGTCACAAAAGAGTGACCAAAACTGATGGCTGCTATCATTCAGCTCTCTGCTCTGAACTAAATCAATTTTTTTTCTTTCTTTGCTCATCTCTTCCCCTTTCTCTCTCTTTCCATTTCTCCTTCCTTGCTGTCTTCCCACTCTTCTTTCCTTCCTTTCCATCAACAGTCATGAGGGGCTGTACTGTAGACACAGTCAGGAGAAATCAAGATAGAGAGTAGGGCTTCTCAGAAGGAGAGGTGGGACACTGGATCCAGCCTGGGACCCAGGAAGTCCTCCACTTAGGTCTTGTAAAAAAGTGCATGTACCCTTGAGTGTTTTCCTATCATTTCACAATGTGTATCATACCTCCTAGTTTGAATGAACTCTTTCAGGTTTTACACCAGTGAAACAATGCAGTGCTTGCACATGCAGGTCTGATTTATTTCACTTATGAGTATGGGAAAAGAGAAGGGAAAGAAGGAGAAATTTTGTATGTATGTATATACAGGATAGTTAACATAGTTGTTCTACTGTCTTCTATTTCTTTGCTGAAAGAATCTGTCAATGAGTCCTTGATTGATCAATATTGCATGTCTCTCTCTGTTTTCATGAGAAACCACTTTGAAGATATCAATATGTAACACAACAAGCATTGATAATTTCCTACCTCTTTGTTTGTAACTCTGTATTGTCTGTACTGTTCTTTTGCTATTTTGTAGAAGGTTGTCTGTCTGTTAATGTTTTCCTCCTTTTATTTTTAAAATTAAAAAAAAAAGTGCATGTAAGGTAGTCAAACTGCCGGGGTTGCTGCAGTCCTAACAGACTCAGCTCCAGAGACTGGGGCAGGAGGATCACAAATTGGAAGAGAGCCCAGGCAAATTAGTGAGCTCCTGTCTCAAAGTAAAAATCAAATCAAAACAGAACAAAACAAACACAACACAACACAAAACAACATGGTTGAGAAATAGCTTAGTTCCAGCACTATCATTATAAAAAAGGAGGTATGAGGGAACACACCAGGGTCTGGTGCACTCTGAGTCAGAGAGCCTCAGCGTAGGAGGCAGCAAAGCAGCCAGCTCTCAGCATGTCCACCCAAACAAGGGCCGATGTGCTGCCAGGAGGGGATCCCTCCCCGGGCAGTCGCTCGGGCAAAATAAAAATGCACTGCAAGTAGATGAGCCCAGGCTCCCCAACCCAAATCCTCATCTACATAGTCTCTCTCATCTGCCACCTGAGATTTCCCAGCCTTACCTTTATGGTTTTTTTATCACCTGCCCTGGAGCATCTGTGCCCCCGTCCTGGCTCTTGTAGGAATCACTGGGTGGATGGAAGTTAGAGAACTTGAGGATCTTAGTGTATAGGGAAGACAGGCCTCGAGGTCTTGGCTTTGGGATATAGAGTGGGATGGACTCAGGAGAGGACAAGTGGGGCCCAAGTGCTAGTGCAGTGCTTGGCATGGAGCAGACTGGTTGCTCAGAAGAAGTTGCTGGAGAGATGGGAAAGGTGAGCAGCAAGGTAAGAGTAGAGGTCAGTGCCTGGGACCTGTGTGTGGGACAGGCTACCCCCAGGATATAGCGGAAGAGATAGTGATTGCTGTATGGAGAGTGGAGTTGCCTCTAAGCAGTCCATGCAGAGGCTAAAGAGGGAAGAGCCAGGGAGATGGAGTGGGCTGAACGGCCCCTGCCATAGTGTTAATGTCACAGGCCGGGCTGCAAGAGAGCTTCAAGTTATGGAACAGTCCTGCACCCCTTTTGTCCATTCCAAGGTGCCACATCTGTATCTGCTCCCTGCTCACCAGACCACTGTGTCTCCTTCCCACAGGGATGATGAATGTATACAGTGGAACCAAAAACTTGTCCCATCTGTTGAGCCTGGCCAGTTCTCGCTGGACAATGAGACACGTGAGTTGTGAATGAGTCTTTGGGATTCAGGAGTAGGAGGTAGCGTCCCCCTGGAAAGGAACAGACCTCACTGCCCCTCCACAGAGTCGTTGTTCTGTGGGGTTAAAACCCCTGCTGACTGATTAGGGAAGAAGGGGATGGTCACTTCCTTCTGGTCAGGGAGGAATGACCATTGCCCTCTGCATTGCAGTTTCTGACGGATTGGACATCTACACCGTGAGAATAGTAGCCACTGACTACAATCAGTTTGCCTTGATGTATGCCATGATAAAGTTTGAAGACATGGTGTACTTCCAGACCAAACTCAATGGTATGTTCTCACTCCATTCCTCAAAGGTCTGGCCTCTGGCCACAGTTAAGTGAGAAAGCCCCTGTCTTCAAGATCTCAACTATTCTCCACTTCAAGTGTCCCTCAGGGAAGAGGCCTTTCCAATGTCTCTCCGTGGGAAAGGGGTCTGGACCTCATTCACTCATTGAGCAGTATTTGTAGAATGAGCTGGGGTAGTGGCCCCAAACTGTCACCCCAGCTCTTGGGAAGCCGAGGCAGGAGGATTGTGAATGTGGAGCCATCTTGGAATATATAACAAAAGCCTGTCTCACATGGTGTAAAAAATAATATAGTGTGTCTTTCTGTTGCCCCTCACTGGCCATGGTGGACACAGGGAGAACCAAGGAGCTGAACTCTGAGGTGAAGCAGCGCTTCATTGAATTTTCTAAGTCTCTCAGCCTCAGTGATGACAACATTGTCTTCTTTGAGCCCACCGGTAATTACCAGCTGCATGGAGGCATGGGGGGTGGATGTGGTATCTGTTTAACATGATGCTATCCCACACCAGGGAAGTTGAAGGATAAAGAATCAGTCCCCTGCTCCAGTCACTGGAGAGATAGTGGCTCTCAGTCAGGCATCTGTGAGTTCCCAGAAACCTTGGTTCCATGTTTTCCTGTGACAGTTTAGCTGGTTTAGCCAAGGCCTACCCAGTGACAATTTCAAGCCCAGTTCAAAGTTTTTCTAGTTTCCACATCCTGGGTCATCTCCTCTCCATACCTTATTGACTCTTATTGTCCTGGACCACCTCTTCCATACCTCAGGACTTGCTGTGCTGGGCCATTTCTTACTTCCCCTGAGGCTTGCTCATTCCTGACATTGGAGATGTCCTTACTTTCAAGTGGCCTGGGCTGGCCTGGGCTGAGGGTTCCACCCAGGCCAAAAACTGCCCTCACTGAGGAGCAGTCAGTCTCAGTAGGGAAACAGGCCTGAGGCTTTGCAGCCCAAGCAGATAGGGCAGGCTCAGTCTAAGTCCACTATGGGCAATGCAGGTGTCCTGGAAACCAGATCTCTCTCTCTCTCTCTCTCTCTCTCTCTCTCTCTCACACACACACACACACACACACACACCCTAACTACTCTGATGTCTTTCTCCCCACAGAGAACTGCATCTGATGACTGAAGAGGCAGTGAGTATGGCAGCACAGGGGGCTGCATAAGTGGCCACACTTAAGTGGGCTGGGGTTTTGGGGCTTCCTTTGTTTCTCCCACTCTCTCCAGGAATCCCCATCATCAGTAATCCGTTGTCCCCCCTCAGGTGCCTCCTGTACTCCACCCCTGTTCTTTCAGTAACTTCTACCCAAGGTTCCATCTGACTGCTCCACCAGACATCAAGCCAGAGGGAGCCAGAAGACCTTCCTTTCAGTGCTTGCTGCATACCCAGGCACCACAAAAGTCATCCACTATGGAGCCCCCTTGTGTACTAAATAAAGGGATGCCACAGACCTCCAAGTATAAGTCTCTTGGTCCTGGGCCATGGGGATGGGGAAGGCAGAGTGTGGGTCCACATGAACATCACTCTCAGAACTTGCTGCCTTCAGAACTGAGCCTGATGCTAGGGTGCAGAGAGAAGGCACAGGGCACAGCAAACTCTGTGCTCCCCTGCCACTGTCACTGACATACCTGCTCCAGACCACCATGATCAGAAGGATGCCATACTTACCCTTGCTTTAGCTGGGCGTTCCTAGTCCCAGGTCTGGCCCCACCTCCAGAGCAGCCTTTGCTCCTGCCACAGAGAGGTGCCCTGTCCAATAGAGACACAGATGGACTAATAGCCGATGGCAGCACATGGCCATCTGCAATGGGTTCCATATTAGCAGCATCATCAGGGCTGATGAGTAGGAGGGTGTGGGGGGTCAGAAGGGGAAGCCACTGCCAGTGCACAAGCCTGCCCTGGATGCTAGACAGTGACCAAGATAGAATGGTGCATGGTGTTTGGGGCAGATATGCAGGCCTGTTTCAGGCAGAGGGTAAGCGTGGGTGGACTCTGTGGGCCTGGTATCCCTTTTCTTACCCACCCTGGTGTGGGGCCATGTCCACTTTGATGTTGTTCAGAGAGTTTCCTGAATCATGGAGATGTACAGACCACAGGGTGCCTTCTGAAGCCAGGGGGTGTGGAAAGAGAAGCTGTCAGGAATCCAGCCTGCTGGGAGAGGACTCACATAGCTGAACCTGTGTTTGGTCTCTCAGCCCCTGCTCCCCACTGGCCACAGTGGCAGCTTCTCAAGTCATGTGGGATATTCAGGAATTCCTCTTGCCTTTTCTCCCCTTTAGAGGCAGCACTCAGTGGAATGTAGCTTTAAAATATCCCAGGCTTCCCACTCCACAGACACACACCACCAATTTTATGGGTGAAGCATATTTCTAAGCAATGACAGCCTCTTTCTTGCCCCATCCCCATAATAGAAAAATCCAGATACCCAAGCACACTAGATGGTGTCTGCAGTCTGGGTCAGAATTCAGTAGAAGACCAGCTTGCTGCAAGCTGTGCCTTCCAACAGTGGTGTGGACTATGCCTGACCCAGAGGAATTCCAGGCTAAGAGGGGTGCTTTGAGATGGCTGGACCAGGGTGTTGACCTCTTGTTGCAACATCAGCTGACTTGCAGTTGCCCAGTTGACAGGACACAAAAGTTTGTAGTTCCTGCTCTCTCCCTTCCTTTT